ACAGTTAGTATCCTGAAGGTCTTGATTTATGTACAACTCTATTAAAATTTGAGGCAAGGTAGTCAGGACACAGATTGCTAGCAATTTTGTGGACAAGACAACAGCAATTTTTGCCAGTTTGTCCATGGAAAACCCAAGGAGGGCATTACAGGTTAAAAAATAAAAAGACATTGCTCAAGCTGTCAAAATTGCAACTAAAATAAATAAAGAACACACTGAGACTCCTCATCCCAGAATTAAACTCCATCTAGTCTCCATCCAGTGACCACCATTCTGCATCCAGTGAGATTCACCACTCACACTCTGACTTTTTAACATTATAATCAAATAAAGCATTAAACCGACAAGGGTCATGCAGTGACTTTTTAACAGAAACTAACCAGTTGCACCAAGTTTGATTTCAAATTTGCTATTGTGTGTATGTGTGTGTGTGCGTGCGCTAGTGTGGGCATATGATCCACTTAATATTTGTATTTATAACTCATTACAATTGTGACCAGGTGTGGACGTATCAGTGGTTCATTACTTTGTAATTTGTTCATGACTGTAACCATGTATAGGAGTGAGGCTGATTCATTACCTTTGTAACTTGCCATGATTGTGACCAGATCTACCTGGAGTTCATTACCTTTGTAACTAGTTCAGCTATCATAACTTTAAGGTCCAGTCCCTGGACCCATTATGTACCTTTGTAATCTTTTGACTACCACCCACAGGATGGGTATGGGGTGCATAATAAAGATATTAAACTGTAACTACTGCACTAACACCTGCCTCTGCTAATCCCTAACTCTGCACACCCTTACCCCTTACTCAGTCCTAACCTTCACATTACAGTATTATTATAATCAAATAGAAGTGCTAAACATACAAGGGCCATGCAGTGCCTAACCTTCACACAACTTGTGACCCTTAATAATAATATTCACTACCCACAGTAAAACTCGTCACCCACAGTAAGACTCCCAGTATCTAGTGAGACCCCAATGGAAATAAGTCACTTTGACTTTTTTTTTTTTGCATTATTCTAGGTAATTTACATATGCTAAATTATTAAAGATATTTGTACTCATGTGTACCTGTACTTAAATAAACTTACACCGTCCAGTGATTATTATTAATGCATTCATGGGGTAGTGCTAAACCCACAGGGGACATACTGCACCTGAGGGAATGGGAGGGATTTAGGTTTGCTCCAAGGAAAGGGATGGCAGGTCCAATTCCTTGGATCAAGATCCCGACTAACAGTTAACACTCACAAACCTATATATTATTATTATAATCATAACTAAGCGCTAAACCCACAAGGGTCACACAGCACTGCACAAACCTATATAAAATACATGGCCTGGCAACACAGTAAATGTTCAAGCATGGTTTACCTACGAACAGCAGCATGATTTATTTTTCAAGATAGATGAAATTTTACCTAAATTCGTCCTGTAAAAGTGATGGTTTTTAGTTCACGATGCGGGCTTCCTGTAGTTACTTGGGGGGAATAAGCACGATTTTCAAGGTTGGGGTGCACCCAGTGAGGGGGGTTTTTTTGGGGGGTTTTTAAAGGGGTTTTATTGGGACCGTTCCCCCGGGACCCAGGAAAAACTCTTCCCCCATGCTGGGCCAAATTAAAAATTATTATTTTTTTAAATAAAGGGGGAAAAACGCTAAACCCGTAGGATTATAGTGCCTGTGGGGGATGTGGAAGGTATTAGGTTTAATTCGGGGACCTGAACACAAAATTTCCCTTAGATTAAGGCCTCTCCCCCGCTAAAGGGAACTTTCCTTGAGGGGGGGGAAATTGAAAATAAATTTAAAATACGGAAAGAGAAACCGAACAAAAATTTCCCAAATTAGATCGGGTGGACATCTTGCTAAACCTATCGCCGCAAGGTAGGGAAAACCCGCATACCCAAACCAAAACAGTGGCACACAGCTCTTATTGTAGCGCTCTTAATGGTGATATCCAAATTAAATCCAGGACCTCAAACTATTTGAGGGGAAAACAGACAAAAAAATGACGGTGATAAACGGTTAGTACTAGAATGAAAACCTTAACGCCATATTAATGCATACATAGGTCAATGTGAACAATACAGCCATTATTATCTCAAACCTACCAAAAACAGGTGCTACACTGACTAAAGTACCATGAAAAACGGAAAAGGCATTTTTAAAATGGTAAGGGGTGGGTGCATGGGATGTTTTACAATTAAAACCGGTGCCAGAATTCTTTTTGGTGAAACAAATGCACTTTGGCCCAGTTCCCTTTGCAGGATGACTTGATTTACCTAATTTAATACAAATGACCCATTGCCATTTTTTGTGATTATGATTGTTTTATGAAAACGGGCCCTTTACTTTTTTTGTCAATGCAAGTCACTTTCTTCCTAAATTTGGCAGGTTTAGGTTCTACAACAAATTGGGGGCAGTTAAACCATCTCTGAATTTTGGTTTGGGATGATAGGTACTGACGACGAGGAAAAATAGTTTACAATAAAAAACGCTTAAAATGGGAAAAAAGGGGGGTGGAGTAGGGCCTAATTAGAAAACTTACTTACAACCCAAACCTGTTTTAAAAAAACAATAAACTGGAGATTCTAGGTTTGAAGTGCTGTTCCAAAACCCAAAACCCACCCTTAGTAGGAACTAGTTACCGCCCTCCCTACCCAGGACCAGTTTTTTAAAAGACTTTTCCCGAGTCTTGCCCCGGGAGTTGAAAAAAATTTGCGAGAAAATAATGGGGGCGACTTCAATATTTTTTTTTTTTCAGCAGCAAAAAAACGGGCTATGAAAAAAAGGTATAAAAAATTCTAGGATTAAATATTTACACTCAACTAAAAATACCCCAACCCGGATCACACAGTTCTCAGCCCCCCAAATTGACCCATACTTTAAACCCCGCGCTGAGAACATTTAGTCACCAGGCTCTTACCACGGGTCTTAGTGACTTTTCATTTTTTTACGCACCAGGAAAATCACAGGGATAGGAAGGCCACACAGGACAAAAAAAAAGAGGTCAACTGAAATACATAAAGAAACATGGTAAATAGGCTACACAATT